TTTTATGGAATTTTATAAGTCAGTTTTTGGGTAGTTATGTGCATTAAATAAGCATTTGTTATAGTTCATATATACTGTTCATGTACTATATTGTTATATGAGATTCATCCCATAATCATGTACTGTCACTTAGCTTTTTTTCCTTTTTTTGCTGTCATTAGAGTACAGTTTGATTATCCAAAGAAGTCTCCATTTTGAAGAAACCTATTTGAATATTTGAAGAAATATACAAGAGGCAGGATTATATACCAAAGTCATAAGTATATGTAATATAAGATGAATTTGTGTATATGAGTATAGTGATATATTTTGTAATGACTAGAGTGCATATAAAGGGATGTTAATGAGGTGATATTTTACTGAAAGGATTGATAACTATCAGTGGAACATATATTTTAGTGACTTTCTTGGAAAATACGACAATCCATGTCAAGTGTTGTACAGTAAAGGGAAAACCAGTGTGATAAGTGTTTGTTATGAAATCCATATCTGTAGGACTATGTCCTTGTGATTACCATATCATAAATGTTGGCTATATTATGGCTCTGGATCCTGTTGGAGAGAAGGAATTAGGAGTTTATTGATGATTTTAAGAAGTGGGTTTTTGGTGTATTTGACTTCCACTCTCTTATCTCATCTCCAGTTATAACTATTTACCTGTGTTTTTTTCCTTTGTATATCTCACTGATCTAGATATTGAATAATCTGCATTTTCTTTCATAGGCAGTTATGATTCTGCCTTGACAAGAATTAACCCCGTGATGCATGCCTATATGCATGTTTACATGTATATATGCAATGGCCCCTGTGGTTTACTTCATATTGTTTATATGCAGACGATTCCAGAAGCACTTTGTCAACAAGAAGTCAGTTGCAAAGCCTACGTGAGCTCATCAATTTGTCCCATTCCTTAAAGTTTTGAAATCTGTGTTTATCTTCGTTACTGTTATTGTTGAGATGATAATAATAACAATGATAATAAAAATTATATAATAATGATGATAATGATAATAGTAATAGTAATAATGAGGATGATAATAATAATGATAATAATAATAATAATAATAATAATAATAATAATAATAATAATAATAATAATAAATGTTAGTGACAGTAATAACAGCGACAGTTGCTTTCCTGAAGACAGTTATGATCAGGTAGGCTTGTTAACTGACATTTTTTTAACTAAGTGCTTGAGAAGGCATCAGTGTATAAACAATAATAATAAAACAAAACCATAGTGGACAATGTGTATACACTCAGAACCAGTTAGTTAGATTGAAAAAAAAAAACAAAAAAAAAACAAGGAGACATCTGAATTTATTTGTTCTTACTCCCTGTATAGCATATATTTGGACAGACTGCATTCATAAAATGGAGTGGAATATAATCAAATTTATGGTTTGGTAAAGTGTGTAATAACACTGCTAGGGTAGAAAAATGGAGTTGATGTTCAGCTATTTTGAAATTATTATATATTAGCATACTTTTGTTGGGTGTGTTCCAGTTTTAGATTAAAATGATTTGTATGAGGTAGGGTAAGTATACCGGAAATGAAACTCAACTGCAGGATAACTTTCCTCAAAAATAGAGTAAAAAAGGTGAAGAAGTGTAAAATTTCTATGATAACCTCAGAAGAAAAGCATGGTGTATTATTGAACAGAAAGTAGATTTATAAAAGTGGGAATGCAAAAAGTGTTTTAAAAAATATGGTGTAAATAAGAGCTTTTCTGCTGTTGGTATTCTCTGCCACTTCAAATAGTACAAAGTGACATGTTTGTTATAATGATTAAGTACCAAGCATTGGCAAATCAGTTTCAATTCTTGTTAGAGTAGATGATTTTATTTAGATAATGAATTGTGTCAAAGAGGAAACTTCAATTTGCTTTAGTTAATTTTCTGAGACATCTCCATCCAGTGTCTGTCCATATATTACCCATCGAAAATGTCTGGGATCACACTCAATGAAAGTATTGGAATGATATTTAGTTATGGGGATGAAAAGTAAAATGCTTTTATGCCGAGTATATATAATAATTAATGGTGGCAGTACAAACTCCAGTGTCTGTATTCTCTTAATTTCTCCTTTGCATACAGGATCTGGGAATAAGCTGTTAGCTTTTCCTAAATACTTTAAATAGCTTCAGTATGATTGTATCACTTGTATTCAGCTTATGCATGTTTAATGCACCTCATTTTTCAGAGTGCTGAAGGAATTATTGCCATTCACCAGATTAAATAAGTTCAAGACTTGCTGCTGTTTCCTTGGTATGTAACACAGTATTAAGGCACCAGTGTAAATTTTAGGGATTTCTTTGTTATTGCTGTGAATTCTCAAAGTTTCATTGAAATTTGTTTGAATGCTGGTATTCTCATCTGTTAAAAAGCAGATTGCTGGTTGGGCATGAGTAATTCCAAGCTGGTTGATTTCTTTCATTACCATTATTGTTGACCTACATCATAAGGTTTGTGAAAATATTTTATGACCAGTATTTTTTATCTAAATTGTCTTCAAACTTGAATTGGTGTTTTGATACTCTTAAGTATCACCCTCAGAGACAATTAATATATATCTAGGTTACTGTTCTGTATTGTACAACTTTGGGTGATGTTAATTGTCTGTGTGTATTCTCATATAGATACTGTGCACTGCTTTTCCTTAGGTTGTTTAGAAAGAGCTGTGTTTTAAGTATTCATAAAAGCAACTGTTGATAGATATTGTTTCAGATAACTTTACACATTTAAGTAAATCTAGTAAGCCTTTGAAATTAACATCTTTGTATCACATTAGCCTCCAGTTATTTAAAAGATTCAGAAGATAGTTTAGGTTGTGCAGTGGTCAGAGTATAATAAAACAAAGTGGAGGAAATATCTACTAATGAAAGCTTGTTCTGATCACACAGGTAAAACAAAGCATTTTAATAGGTATTTTATGTGGTGATTAGTATTATAATATATGTATATAAAGGGAAAAAATGTGATTGTGCTGTTGTTGCAAATTTAGGAAAAAAAATTGCCCATTTAGTGTTTATCCATATGTTTATTGTGTAGGGGATTTGGCATGAATTCTGTATCAAGCCAACCATATTTTGAGATCCTAAGCAACAATAATCTCACCATTTTGATAAGGATGATAGACAAAAGAAATGAAATCTAGTTCTAGTAAAGATGACCATGTAGCTTACAAACAGTTGCAATCTTCCATTTCATTGAGTAACATTAGTGGTATTAAAAACTGAAGATACTAGTCATAGCAGTTTAGATCTTTACAACTTTGCGTGTACATTGACTATCAACTTGTCTTTTAGATAACATGTGTTATTATTGATTATGTAGATTTTGTGATGTATAACATATATGTGCCAAACTGGATGTTATGTTGTACGTAAGACATGATTTTGCAACTGAGTAGATGGTACATCTGGGTTAGTTCTTCAATTATGACAAACATACACATCCTCTTTTTTGTTACTAGGAACATATGTCTCTCCAGCTTAGCTGATAAGGGCCTGTATGTTTCATATTACTTAGGCTTTTTATCTGCGTCCATCACTTGTTTTGGTTTAGTACATAGTACTCTAGAACACAAGCATATTCATAGTGGCCAATAAAAATTGAGCATAAACTGTATACTTTCAATTTCTCTCTTCTGTCACTATTATTTTTAAAAATTGATGCTTTTCATTTTCTCTGTAATGGCAGTTTTTTAAAGCAACAGATAAAGTTGTCACATGCCATTCTTTGGTTTTAAGATCAGCTAATAATGATATTTACACAAAAGATGCCAACATTACCATAGCTTACTAGACACATTTTCATTGACACTGACTTGAAAAGGAAACTTAATGTAGTATATGTAAAGTTAATCTAATTTAAAAATCTTGTTTATCTACTTAATATCTTTTATTTTCATAAGTGAAACTACTTTTTTTTCAAACGTATTTCATATATGTTATTTAAGGATTTTGTAAAGGTAACACGAATATGGATTCTAACATGTACTGTATTGTGTATATTTCTCCCTAAATGTTTGTTTCATCCATATTACAAGTGTGCCCAGATCATTATCTTGTCTGAACTGATTCTTGTATGGTAACATCTTTTGGGCTAAAATAAATTGCTCAAGTAAATGGTTGCTTCTTTTTCCATTGTTTTGCTACCTTGTGGGTGCAACACAGTACAGAAAAGTTGACAAAAATAACTAAATGGCAACAGTGAAACATTTCTGAGCATGTCAGAAAAAATCACTTTATTATAGGTAGGCTCACTTTAGTGCACTTATTGAAATATGAAAAGACATTACTATTTATGACCCCAACTTAAGGCAAAAAATTCTTGGCTTACTCATATGTTTAAAAATTTAAAATTTTGTGACAAAAGAAACTGAAGTGAAAACGTTTTCAAGTTTTCACTTCTAAAATTGATGGAGACATTATTATGAGAATTGTGATGGCAATGTTCAAGATGACTTATTTGATGCCTGAAAGTGAGACCCCACAAATGATAGGGTCTCTTCTAATTGTTAGTAGAAAACTTTTCAGGTCAAAGAAAAGTAATTAGTTATCATTACTTAAAATGAAGTACAAATCAGTTTGATAGTATCCCAATAATGCGGGGTAAAGAATTTGGCAAATGGACATGATTGTGGGATAACTGGTGGGCATCAACAGTTTTCTGTTTGCACCTGGCTCACTCAGTATTTTGCTGTCACCTAAAAGCTTGTATCCTCACACTTTTTTAAATGGTCAAAATTTTGAAGGTTTACCTTCACATTATGTGCTATTGCTCAAAGCTTTACCATAGAAATGCTGCTGATACTATCAAAGAAAAACAAGCTCCATCCAATGAGCTGATGGCGCAGGAAAGGTCATGTTTTATGCCACCCGCTACTTTATCCACAACAGCTATGACATGTAAGTATATGACACCCTTTGGGAAGGGGTTAAAGTTATGTAGCCAATTTAAAAGGCAAGATTCATGTGGAAGTATCATACACTAGAGACTGATTTTCATTATCTATATCAATAAGTAAGTCTCAAGGATAAGTTGAGGAGAAAGTAAGGACAACAGTGTAATAATACAGATGTTGATTTTATCCTGATAATATCACATGACAACAAACCTGTTATTAATGCATAGAACCTAAAACATTCCTTAATTCTTAGGCTCCCTAAGTTATGAACACCCACATACTCTGTATTATCCACAAAAAACAATGTATAGGAATCACAAGAGTTTGTGTATGTTGAAACATTCATGGGTAATATATACAGCATCTTAGTCTTGGCATGGATGTACCAAATTTCTTGTTAAACATTTGTGGAAATCAGCTCTGTAGTTTCTCTGTGTTGACCTGTCACAATGAGGTAAACTATCCCTCAAGCCAGGATGACATGTGGTTGAGCCTACTCCAACATGTTAAAGATTAAAAAGTAAAATAAATGTGCTAGACATCTAAGGTCATATAGCACTATAGGAAAGTATATTAAAGGAGGGGTGAAGGGTGATAGTTAATCTGCGTCAACTATCTAGAGTGATCTTGAAAGGTTAAAGATGGGTAAAGAAGTTGCTGTGTGAATGGACTATGGTGGGTTTCGGTAAGGGAATTAAGTAAGTTTCACTTGTGTATCAAGGAGGGAGTGCAAATAGCGGGGATGGAGGGAGGGAGAATGTACATAGTTGGAGTTGAGGGGGGTGGGTTGTGTTGGGAGGGAGTAGGAGGAAGTGTTGTTAGGGGAATATGAGGATGATGATGGGTTTTGGGAGGATGGATATCGTCATTAGTTAGAGTTGAGGGAGATGGGTTGTGTTAGGAGGGCGGAAGGGGTGTAGGTGGAATATGAGCATAAGGGGGATGGATATCAGCAGTCACTTCGAGTGTGGAGGGAGCATAAGTTATGGAATTTTGTGTCTCAAGCATATAGCTTCGAATATTTTCCATAGTTTCTGCAGTGGAGTTCATTGAAGTTTTATGAGACAAAGGTAGGAGACGAGGGGAAGAGGAGACTGGTGTCTGAGGGACAAAGGCAAAGGTAGGTAGAAGTGAGTGTGCAGTAGGGGAAGAAGGGGTGGAATGTTTAGTCTGTCTGCTACGGGTAGTGCAGGGAGGGAGAGGGGACAGTGTTGGGACCGTAGTTGAGATTGGAGTGTCTGGGTTTAGAGTGGCAAAAAAATTTGACTGGGGGAGGTAGAATGTAGAAGTGGAAGTGGGGAAGTAGGTATAGGGGAAGGTGTAGGAACATAAGGTGGAGGGGGAGGGGCAGAGCAAGCGACATTACTAGAGTGGGGAGTATAAGAGAAACCCTGTCGGCATGCTTCTTGTCTGGCTTCATGTAGTGAGACCATTTTTGTAACTGAGAGTTGCTACCTCAGACTCAAACTTATAAGTGGGACAGCCTCTATAAAATACATTTATGGGGGCCACCGCAGTTAGCACATGTGCGTGTTTGTGCAGAACAGCTTGACCGGTTATGACCGGATTGAGCACATATGGGGCATCGGTCTGTTGAGTGGCTGTGTTTGGCAGGATGTCCAAAGCACCAACAGTTTTGACATTGACGGGGAGGAGGTTGGTATGGTTGTACAGGGAAGGATTGTCCACCAATATAGATACGAAAGGGAAGGTCATGTGTACTGAAAGTAATTTTGGCAATGTTGTTGGGTTTCCTTTGATGACCTCTAGGAGGAATGGAGTAACACTGTACTGATAGCACAACATGGTCTTTGAGCCAGCCGAGTAAGTACTCTCCACAATCTGACCAATCAATAGCCATAGGGCAGCTTGCTGGGGAGATAGAGACAGTTCCAGTACAAGTATTACGAGTTAAATGAGGTTCTGCAGGGATGGGGTTGCCAGAGAGATCAGTTAGTTTTGATAATGCTATAACTTCAGCTTCAGATCTGACAGTTACGAGACGGGAGCGATCGCGTCGGGTACAGAAAGGGACTGCCTACATGTTTTTGGAGACATTGTTGAAAGAGAAGAGTGTTGCCTGAGTAAGGAGTTGTATGGGGATCACAAAAAATCGGTCCCATTTGGCTGGGCTAAATAGAGTATTTAAGATATTGGTCGAGTTGTGGGTGGTAAAAGGAAAGGGACGTGTGAAAGAGGAAGTATTGTTGTGATGAGGTGATTGGTGAAGAAGGCTGTGGGGGTAGAGATGAAGAAGTTGAAGAAGTTGGGAGAGTAGGAGTCTCGACTTGGGTGGATAATGCACTGGTAGGCATTGAGGAGTGGGTAGTAGTTGTAGTGTTCAGAGTCATTGTCAAAGGAGAGCCTGGGGTCGGGGAGCCGGGAGAGTTTGAATCGGTAGGGCTATTTGATGAAGGGGCAAGCCTCATTGCCTCTAATATGGGTATTACTTCTTCATTACTGGCCATGGGAAGCCTTGGCTATGTTGGGGAATAAACAGTCCACCCCTCAGGGGTAAGGGCTAAACAACAAAATCGTTCCCTCAGGCTGTTCAGGACTGGCACAAAGTCAGCCTTTCATCCTTTCAGCACGGCTTTTACACCTTAGGAAGTAGATAGAAAAAGGGGTTGGAGAAGGTACGGAAATGAAAGAGCTGGAGGGAGAAAAGACCAAGCAAAATTAGTTCAAGTTGAGGGCTGAGGCCCTTGGCAGGGGAGATCCCTGCATTGGGTCTGTCTCCGTCTCCTCAGCACCACACGACAATAACGGGCAAGGGATTGGGGGAGGTCCAGCTTGTTTGGCCCTGGTTATTTTCGTTGAAAAGAATTCCTCAACAAGTAAGCTTAAAACTTTTTTTGCTTTATTATTTAGAGAATTGTTATACTGCAATTTAGACCTTAGAGAGTGGGGTAATCTTAGATTTTCTGCAATTCTAATTTTCTCTTAACCCATTTACAATGGGTATCCCATATATGAGACACCTGGAAAAATAAACATTGCAGGGCGTCCCGCCAGTGTGATGTTAGATTGGAGCTCGCATGCTGAATACGTAGCGGGCGGATTCCGGGCCAGCCTCAAGCTCCTATTTTGTAGCCCCCTGGAAACTATTATTTTCGGCTTAAAATATTCCCGCGATAGTGGGTTAAGCAGCTAACTGTGCCTACCCCAAAACCTGGTGCTAGGGGCTCCTGTTGTGAATAAATTAAGATTGAAATGCACTAAGAAGCTAATAATGGCATGGTATTACATATAATGCAAGCAGATACAGCAATTGTGCATACTATGTTTCACTGTCCTTGGTTGAGTGCGGTTACTCATATGTACATGATGCCATAAGCTCACAATCCTTCAGATTGGTTGAAATTCCCACTGCCTGCTCTACAATGTACTAGATGCATTAAGTCCTGCTCTTTCAGAACTAGTCTAAATCAAGGAGTGATGTGGGGAAAAAAAAAAATAAATAAAATAAAAGGAAGTACTATCTTTCTGGAAACTTAGTAAACTAAACATTCCAGGCGTTTTATGAAAATACATATTAAACAAAAAAATTCAAGGCAACTAAAACTAGGAAATAATATTTTACTGTTTTTATTTGACTTTAAGAAAGCTTGAGTACATCTCTAGTTCATAAATGTTCTAAATGCCAGAGTGAATATAATAGTAGTAGACTTTCAATTTGCCATCCCTATCAATGTGAGATCTCTCCTTAAATCTCTAGAAATGAGAGAAATAAAAAATAGCTTGCAATCTTGTATAAAAAGACAGTACATTTTATCTACACAATATTTGGCGCAGAGACCCCCCCGTATATTTCCCCAATATTAGGTACACTTTCTTTCCATGGGAAATGTTGAGGACCACTTCCTGACCTCCCGGAAGAGCTAATCAAGCTCTCGCAGGGCCCGGAAGATGACATTGCTCTTCCTTGGTGGAAAGTTGATCCCTGGTACCTCTTGCCACTGCCAACAACTTCACCATAACATACTTCAGCTGAGGTACAGCATATTATAATACTAATAACTGCCACTATTTACTACCTTTCAAACCATTGAACATCATGGTATAGTTGGCAGCAGTAGCAGGAGGTTCCCTGGCAACCTCATGTGTAGGTTACCGGTATCTCCACATGCTTTAAGTGTCACTTAGCTGATTATGAAGCACGTCCAGTGCCCCAGGATCAATTTAAGTTGGTACATTGATTTCTACTTTATACAATCTGAAAACTCCTACAGTCTTTGTTTGGCTAGAATCCCACACAAGCAGTTACATAAAATGCACAATCTGTACATTTATAAATCATTGTACCATGAGTAGTTAAAATTTTGCACAATTTATAGTTTAAATACCCTAGCTAACAATGCAGCTTCCCATACTTGGGAGCAGGAGCAGTGCTTATATTAAAACACCAAATTATTTGTGAACACAGTAAATATCTTCTTGACAGATCATTGTGCTACCAACTTTGTACCTGATCAAAGCTCCTGGACAATATATTAAATTCTAGCACCGTGATACAAGGAGCTGATGAGATATATTAACATGAGAAATGCCCAAACATTCAGATCTATGGGCAATCAGTTTTGTTCACTGGGAACCAGGAGCCAAATTCTTGCACACACACACACACACTCCTGCCTGTTTACAATGAGGAACAGCGCGCCATCACCGACTAGAGTTAGTCTGAGGTGAGCATAAGCATGACTGCTTATGTCAGCATCTATAATAACAAATATGGATCACTAAATAAAGACATTTGTACATGAACATACAAACTAACATATCTTTGGCAATACTCAGGCTATGACTGAGATTACAAGAAATATAACTATATAACCATTTTGTGGAGGATCATGATAAAAGTGGAATGTGGGCTGTACCTCTGACTGTTACCAGTACTTGCTGCAACCCTGCTAGTGCTTGCCAGGGAAGAGCTGGCAGCCCTCTGCCGGGGGCGCTCTCTGCCACAACCCAAACCTGGCCCCGCACCCTACTGCCCGCCTCATCACGGGCATCAAACAATATCACAGTAATAATGGCAGTGTTCGCCAAAGTGAGTCCAGGCACACACGGCCTTCCCATAATTTACATTAGTTTGACTTAATATCTAAGAAGGCTGCAATGTGCCACAGCGATTCTATATAAGATGCATCAAATGCATCGCTGCTGCTTATCAGCGATGCCTCCCTGCCCAGTTTGTTACATTACCAGACAGGAACACATTTGTCGAACACTGGGTAAGCCTATGCCCTGAGATTAGTCAGGTGATTTGTATGACTCAGGGATGGATCATTACTGCAACAATGCTAGCCACTGCCTTCAGGAGACCAGGCTTGAGTGATGCTGCGGCCACGTGTTGCGGCTCTGGCCGCTACTGTGTAGAGGATGCTGTATCCAGCACCCGAGTCCAACCGAACTAAAGTAAAAAACTGGTGGGTCTTCAAAATCCAGAAGGAGAGACAAAGACACATCTCCATGCAGAGCCTCTTTAGGAATCAATCCCTTAAGTCTTTAAAAACATAACTCATTTGGAATAAGTCCAAATGTAATCCAGACAAGTTATAAAGTTAAGTGTTCCTTCTGAGCAACAAGTAAGTAAATTTGAAATAACTGCAATCACAGCTGCTCCAGAGGCTCATTCAACACAACAATCAAAAGGGACGGCAAAATATCAAATCATCAATTAAACTTCCCAAAAGCCATGCTACAGAAGTCTACAATTATAATACCTTAATGAACGCAACAGAGTGCATGTTGCCGTTGCCTGGGCGGTTCAGTGATTTTCCAATGTTTAATGATTTTGCTGAGGCTGTATTCACTACATCTCACCCAGCAACACAACTGCTACATTACATATTAGACACAAAAGTTAACAGCAGCCCAATCCTGGCAATGTGGGGCATCATAGGGATAAAACATTATTCACAAATGACCTCAGTTTCTGCATCATCTCTGTATCACATGTAACTTGAAAAAAAGGGTCTACAAAGTCCTCAGTGCTACACAGTGGAACATGGAAGTTTAAGCTCCATGCTAAAGGTTGAGATGGGGCTACATTTACTATTTAGCCCCCCCTCTTGATTGCTAATAATCACACAAAAAAGCATTAGAAACATACATGTTCTCCTCTAAATAAAGTCAGTATTATTTGGTATGATGCAGACTTCCTGACAAAAAACATCAAGATATTTGCTCAGTCAAGTCTAAGGTCAAGTATTCAGAGAAAAGTTCCAAGCCTGTGACATACCGAAACTTCAAGCTTAAAAAGAGAACCCCGCATCATAAGTGGTTCACATTTCCTTTAAGACAGCAGGTTATGGGCATTAACAACACTTAAAAAGTTTGACTGCTGCTGAAACTTTCTATGCCACTTTGTGGTCACTTGTTACTGGGTACAAGTACGGGTTACAATATAAAGCAATACACAATTCTGGGAGTGTCTTTCAAATAATGATAATATCCAGTTTCAAGCATGTTCCATTCTTTAAGACTGACCTCTTACACATGTCAGTATAGGTAAACTGCTAATTAACAAACACTTCCTGCGGTGGCAGAAATACCTTATATACTAATGAGGGTTTACACTACCCTGTCTAAACTAAAGAAAAAGCAAACACTGCACTTCCACTAATGGTACAGTCCCAGGTGTAACAAGTGTTGCACAAGGTGGCAAGGTGCCACAGATCCTGCTGCCAGGGCTCAGTTACCCCCCCACCAGTCTGTCCCTGAAGCGCCAGAGGTGTTGTAGCTATTGTAGCCTTGGCTTCCACTGAAACCTCCGTACCCTCCATAATGATTGAAGTGTGGAGCAGCTGTTGGGAGGGAAATGTAAAATATAATTAGTGCTGTTCTACACTATCTTCTGTGATTTATCTTATAGAATTTGGATTGTTATTGTTACATCATAATAAGCACTCAAAGAGAGAGTAATGTCGCAAAGAGGAGGCAAAGTCTTCACACTGCAGATTCTGGACCATGTGCAGGCAGTGAAGCACTCAGATACAATTAATTAATTAACCAATTCACCAAGAGACACCCACCTCCACCAAAGCTGTTGAATCCTCCACCTGGACGAGCAGGCCCTGCCGTGTGGGGGCCCTTGTTGCGGTCGGCCTGACGGTAATCTCGGGATCCAAAGCCTCCACCGAAGCGCTTGGCTCCTGCGCGGCCTCGTCCTCCTCCACCCCCAAAGCGTGCCTCAGAGGCAATGGCTTCTAGCCACTTGGGAAGCTCCTGTTTGGCCTCTTGTAAGAGTTCTACCAAGTCTCGTACCATGTTACGATTCTTGTCATTGAAGAAACTAGTGGCAAGGCCTGAAATGTATAATATTTTCGAGATAAGTAAATTTGGATTGAATATTCAGATTATATTATTACAGGTAATTCCAACCTAACTTCATTCCAATTTTTAAAACAAAAACAAAAGTAACCATAAGTAATATGACCTTATTTCTTCATATGTCCTGCAAGTTAACTGTAATGTATGACAAATAAAAACATCAACCTTCTTATGTGTACTCTAGCAAATGTTTCCTGAAAAACTGTCAAAAGAATGTTATATCTTTGTACTTTGATTGGGTACACTTTGAAAATATCAAGGACGTTAAACATTCCTTCTAATTGGGTAATGGCCAACTTACCAAGGTTACCCATACGACCAGTTCGACCGATACGGTGAACATATTCCTCAATGTCTGATGGCAGATCAAAATTAATGACATGCTTAACGTGTGGAATGTCCAAACCACGAGCTGCCACCTGCAGGAAAATATGAAAATCAAAAAATGTAAAAAATAACACCTACTATATTCTAAATTTCACAATTTTGATTTTCACACACACACACAAAAAAATCTAATAATTTGTTAAAATCAGGTAGCATATATACATGATCTAAAAAGAAATGGCCTTCATTTACAGCTTTCATTATTTTACTTACAGCAGTTGCCACAAGGATGGGGCACTGGCCAGAGCGGAAGACACGAAGAGCATCCTCTCGCTCACGTTGGCTTCGGTCACCATGAATGCTTGTCACGGGGTATCCATGACGGTACAAGAACTCCTCAAGGGCATCTGCACCCTTTTTGGTCTCAACGAACACTAACGTCAGGGATTCTGTAGGAAATGGAGATATGTCTGCATTGTTCTTGTTGAGATGCTGACAAAATCAGGGTTACACACAACGAACAGATTCCTCTAGAGAAGCCGCATCGGGCTAACCAATCAGCGTGGCAACCAAAGAAGGAACCTCATCCACTGCCTGAAATCTGATCTGGTCAAGCCATGGCCAAGTCTACTCCTATTATCAGGATAGTTATTATCACGAAGTCTATCAAATAAATTTGGTGCATGATTGCCAGACAAAAGAACAAAAAAATATAGAAAATGAGTGGAGTGGAATGACTTGGCAAAATTGTACTCAGGTTTCTTTTTATCTCAAGGGGAAGTCTAATTCCTACAGCAAAAAATGCTTGTGGTTAAAAGCATATTAAAGAAGCAGTTACTTGTAAAATATTACCTTCTCTGCGAGGGGGTACACCCATGGCCATTTTATCATCTGGAATGAAACCTTTATTCATAAAATAATAAAACTACCACCTAAATGCACAAGTAAACATCATAAAAAGACTAAGGGAAAAAACACACAAGGTTCAAACAATACTGTAATGCTTTCCACTTACAAGATGAACCTCAGTTAATAGCAAAAAAAAAAGGGCACACCATCCAGTGGAATACCTATAGTTTCTTTAAAGATGAATTAAACTAGTAAGGGAACTGGCACAAAAAGGAACACACAACAAGCCTTACTACAGAAAAGTCTTATATAGACATGAGTTCATGTACATGTATGTGTGAGTATTCATGTTTATATTTTACACAAACATGCATACGTGTATACATAAATATATGTATACATATATATTTATATGACTATCTTATTACATATGAATTATATATATAATATATATATATATATATATATATATATATATATATATATATATATATATATATATATATATATATATATATATATATATATATATATATATATATGTATATATATTATATATATATGGATGTCTTACATAACTATGTCTCTAATACATGTTTTTTATTATAAATATACATGTATATTGCATATATATATACATATATACATAGATACGTATATATACATATATACACATATATACATATATACATATATATATATATATATAATATATATATATATATATATATATATATATATATATATATATATATATATATATATATATATATATATATGTATATATATGTATGTGTATATGTTGGAGAGTGTTGAGAGAGTGGAGAGTGTGTTGAGGAGGAGAGAGGAGGGAGGAGGGAGGAGGGAGGAGAGGAGGGAGGAGAGAGAGAGGAGGGAGGAGGAGAGAGGAGAGAGAGGAGAGGAGGAGAGGAGGGGGAGAGAGTGAGGAGGAGGAGGAGGGAGGGGGAGAGAGAGGGGAGGAGGGAGGAGGGAGGGAGAAGGGAGAGGAGGAGGAGGGGAGAGAGGAAGGAGGAGGAGGAGGAGGAGGGGAGGGAGGGAGGAGGAGGAGAGAGGAGGAGGGGAGGGGGAGAGAGTGAAGGAGGAGAAAGGGGAGAGAGTGAAGGAGAGAAAGGGGGAAGAGTGAAGGAGGAAAAGTGGAGAGAGTGTAAGGAGGAGGGAGGGAGAGAGTGAAGAGGAGGGAGGGAGAGAGTAAGGAGGAGGAAGGAGGGAGAGAGTGAAGGAGGAGGAGGGGGAAGAGAGAGGGGGTAGGAGGGAGAGAGAGAGTGAGGAGAGGGAAGAGAGAGAAGAGGGGAAAAGGAGGGGAGAGTGAGAGAGAGAGAAGAGAGAGAGAGAGAGAGAGAGAGAGGAGAGAGAGAGAGGAGGAGAGATGAGAGAGAGAGGAGGAGAAGAGAGAGAGAGAGAGAGAGAGAGAAGAGGGAAAAGGTGAGAGAGGAGAGAGAGAGAGATGAGAGAGAAGAGGGAAGAAGGGAGAGAGGAGAGAGAGAGAGAGAGAGAGAGTGAGAGAGAAGAGGGAAAGGGTGGGAGAGAGAGAGAGAGAGAAGAGAGAGAGAGAGAGAGAGGAGAGAGAGAGAGAGAGAGAGAGAGAGAAGAGGGAAAGAGGAGAAGAGAGAGAGAGAGAGAGAAGAGAGAGTGAGAGAGAGAGAGAGAGAGAAGAGAGAGAAAAGGAGAGAGAGAGAGAGAGAGAAGAGAGAGAGAGAGAGAGAGAGAGAGAGGAAGAGAGAGAAGAGAGAGAGAGAGAGAGAGGAAAGAGAAGAGAGAGGAGAGAAGGGAAGAGAAGAGAGAGAGAGGGAAAAGGGTGAGAAGAGAGGAGGAAGAAGAGGAAGGAGAGGGAAAGGGGGAGAGAAGGGAAGAAAGGGGTGAGAGAGGGAAGAAGAGGGAAAGGGGTGGAGAGAGAGGGAAGAAGAGGGAAAGGGGTGGGAGAGAGGAAGAGGGAAAGGGTGGAGAGAGAGGGAAGAAGAGGGAAAGGGGTGGAGAGAGAGGGAAGAAGAGGGAAAGGGGTGGAGAGAGAGGGAAGAAGAGGGAAAAGGGGAAGAGAGGTGGAAAGGGTGAAGAGAGAGGAGGAGAGAGGGGAAAGAGGGAAAGGGTGGAGAGAAAGGGGGAGAGAGAGGGAAAGGGGTGAGGAGGGAAGAAGAGGGAAAGGGGTGGAGAGAGAGGGGAAGAAGGGGTGGAGAGAGAGAAGAGGGAGGGAAAGGGGTGAAGAGGGAGAGAGAGAGGAAGAGAGAAGCGAGAAGAGGAGGAGAGAGAGGAAAAGGAGAAAGTGTGTATAAAGGAGGGGGAGAAAGAAAAGATTAAGGAGACAACCACATCTTGTAAATGCACACTTGGCAAAAAATGCACTCATCTAGAATTTTATTAGACAAACCATACCTGAAAATGCATATTTACCAAAGAAAAAAAAAATCTTAGAATGAATGCAAATAGAAACAAAAATAAAAAAGGAAAAATAATGAAAAGGGGGAGAAATTATACATACAAATATATGTATAAATACATACACATACATATATTCCCTTACTGACGTGCACGCCTATAGCTGTCATGGATATCCTACTATTTTGATGTGAAATGCGAATACAAGTCATGACTTGCTCTAGCTTGTGAGTGGACAGTCTGGCTTTGCACAGCAAGCGCCCAACCAAAATGGCTGGAGAGATTCCAAAAGTCACCGGAATAACTGATACACAAAAAACTATGCCCCGTCAGAGTAGGGATATGTGCATGTATGTATGCATGTATATATGTATGCATGTATATATGTATGTATGTATGTATGTGTATATGTATATGTTATTATATATGTGTGTGTGTGTGTGTGTGTGTGTGTGTGTGTGTGTGTGTGTGTGTGTGTGTGTGTGTGTGTGTGTGTGTGTGTGAGTATACAGGTGTGTGTGTGAGTATACATGTGTGCATGTATATATGTGCGTGTAGTGTGGTAGTATACATGTGTGTGTGTATAATGTGTGTGTGTGTGAGTATACATATGTGTGTGAGTGTGTGAGTATAGTGTGTGTGTGTTGTGTGTGTGTGTGTGTGTGTGTGTGTGTGAGTGTGGTGTGTGTGTGTGTGTGTGTGTGTGTGTGTGTGTGTGTGTGTGTGTGTGTGTTGTGTGTGAGTGTGAGTGTGTGTGTGTGTGTGTGTGTGTGTGTGTGTGTGTGTGTGTGTGTGTGTGTGTGTGTGTGTGTGTGTGTGTGTGTGTGTAAAGACCTAGGAAGCCTTACAGAAAATCCATCTTGTAAGTTGGGGGGGGGGGGGGTTAAAAAAAAAGGAAAAAAGAAAAAAAAGAAAAAAAAGAAAAAGAAAAAGAAAGAAAAGAAAACACTGACCTTTATTGGCCTCAGTTGCACGATCTAACCCAGCAGCATTAAGGATGTCAAGAAGGAAGGATCGCTTGTCATCCTCTGACACCCAGACAATCTTTTGTGTAATATTCTCTGAAGTGGAACCAACTCGACCCACAGCCAAGAAAATGTAGTTGTCCAAGAAATCCTGTACAGCAAAAACGAAAAGTTAACACAATTATAATATGAAAAAACATTCGGGTATAATGGCATATTCAATCCAAGATGGGTAAACACCAGCACACTGATTCTCTCGATCCTAAACAAAATACTGCCAGCCCATGAATAATGCTACCCCTTTTGATTCAGATGATGTGACCATCCCGTCAAGTAAATATCTAGCGTGAGGGCTGGGTGATGTGAACTTGCCATTATGGGCATTTCAGCCGAAGGTCGGGGTGATGGAAATGACTCACCATGAGTGCACAAACCTCTTGGTATTTGATTATACTTACATTTGACATTTAGAAGGGGATTTTACATTATTCCTATTATGGCCAGCTCCAGAAAGGATACCATTTCCCTGCTCAATATCCAATTCCTGACTGCCGTAACTGGCGGGGCAGGATGTATTACAGAAAACTGAATAATATGAAATTTAAAAAATGACAATCAAAATGATACTACCTAAAAGGATGATATGGAGTCAGAGCAAGCCAAAGTCTTATCACCATACACATGCGCCCAGCTTACAAGCTGTGCACCTGGCAGATTAATGCCCATATTTTGGTCCATGTGATTGCTGTTAAACAACTTGATCCAAGGGCTTAACTTAGCACCCTTTCTCCAACCACAATTAGACAATCAAAGCTTTATTTTCATTTAAGAAATCATAGATAATTTGCAACTGATGATGAATTTGAATTCACTGTTTTATCATCTTCATTTCAACACAAAAAATTAAACATTATCTATATTTTAAAAACAAATCAATATCTATATTACCTGCATTTACTTTATCCATACTTTCTTCTTATATATTTAGTAATATGTCAGTTTGTCTAACAACAATGACACTTTAAAATATGTATTTCATACATGAATGCAAGATCACAAATCCTTATAGACGGCAAAACCCCCAGTCTGTCTGTCTCAGTCTTCCCAGCCACAAAAAAGGCATCACATTTCAAGTTTAACCAGGGCAAATTTTGATTGCAGGCATTTGGAGAGCTCAGTTTGTGCACATAAAATGTATATTCATTGCCATATCAATAAAGAACAAAGTAAAAGTTATCATATTTGTTCCTCAGGTATGAATGAAAATGGGAGAGTGATTACTATATGCAGGTCTTGATTGAAAACTACTTGTTTTTTTAGCTTTCATTTTAAAATCCTTGATATGGTAATATACATTATACTAATGTATAATGTATACTATATATATATATATATATATATATATACTATACTTATACCATAATATACACTAATAATATACATTTTACTAATAATATACATTTTACTAATAATATACATTTTACTAAATTATACTATAATACATATACATATATACATATAATACATTATACATATAATAAACATTATACATATAATAAACATTAACAGTATAAACATTATACATATAAATATACATATATAATATACATATATATAAATACATATACATACATAATATAATATACATTATATATTCATATATTTATATAACTATATATATGTATAACTATATATCATAGATGATGAAGAAAAACAAAGAGCCAAACCTGAGCAAGTCGCTGGATTTCCTTGGGGAAGGTAGCTGAGAACATAAGAGTCTGGCGCTGGCCAGTGGGAGGCATGTTGTCCTCCTCAACAATACGGCGAATCTGAGGCTCAAAACCCATGTCCAGCATGCGGTCAGCCTCATCGAGTACCAGGTACCTAAAGTAGTAGAGAATAAATAAACAAACTAGAAGGAAGCGAATATATATTCAGTTTTCGTTTTTTTTCACTTTACCTTCACGAAACCACCATATATACCAACAGAGCAAAGTGAAATAGAACCTTACTTGCAATAATCAAGACCAATCTTTCCACGGTCAATCATGTCAGCCAGACGTCCTGGGGTGGCAACTAATAGGTGGCAGCCACGGGACAGATCTCTCATCTGTGACACAACATCAGCACCACCGTACACCACACATGGACGAACTCGGGCCCTATTCACCAAGGACGAAACTTTAATAAAATGGCCTTTGTTGTCAATAAATGTGATATTATATGTGTGTGTGTGTGTGTGTGTGTGTGTGTGTGTGTGTGTGTGTGTGTGTGTGTGTGTGTGTGTGTGTGTGTGTTGTGTGTGTGTGTGTGTGTGCGCGCGCGCTTTGTGTTTGCTTTGTGTGTCAGCATTGAGTGTGTATGTGTTGTGTGTGTATCAATATCTATATTGGTATCTATATCAGCATCTATATCAATATGTATATCAATATCTATCTATCTATCTATATATATGTATATATACATACATACATATAAATCAATTATATATAACCCAAAACAATACTTCATTATCTTAGTCTTAGTAATTTAATGATGGTAATACCCTCATTTTGGAAATTCTAGTCTTAAGCGCACACAAATCCATGGAATAATATCACCCTTACACATAGTACCACTGACCGATAAGAGAATTTGCGAGCCTCTTCATAGATCTGGGTGGCCAACTCACGAGTGGGGGCCAAAATCAAAGACAGGGGGTATTGCTTATTACGTCCTCTTGGGTTGTTGTTTTTGACCTGACGGAAGACAAAATCATCATGTCACTAGAATGTAGAATGGTTTACACAAGTAATTATGATATTCAAGTAAGTGAGCAATCTTAGAAAAAACAAAGAGGTTGAGGGATTAAGGAGGATGATGCTACAAAGGATCACAAGACAAGAGGGATAAGGGGGGGAAAGGGAAGGGGAGGGAAGGGGAAGAGGGGAAGAGAGGAGAGGGGAGGGGAAGGGGGGAAAGGAAGGAGAAGGGAGTGGAAGGGGGGGAAAATGGAGGGGGAGGGAGAGGGTAGGAGAGGGAAAGAGATGGAGAAAAGGACGGAGAGGGGAGAGGAGGAAAGGGAGGAGAGGAGCAAGAGAGCGAGAGAGAAGAGAAGTCCGGAAGGAGAGGTCGGGATGGAAAGAGGGAAGGAGAGGTCGGGATGAAAGAGGTGGAAGGAAGAGGTCGTCGGATGGAAAGAGGAAGGAGAGGTCGGAAGGAGAGGTCGGGATGGAAAGAGGCGGAAGGAGAGGTCGGGATGGAAAGAGGCGGAAGGAGAGGTCGGGATGGGAAAGAGTGGAAGGAGAGGTCGGGGATCGGAAGGGAGGTCGGGATGGGAAGGAGAGGTCGGGATGGAAAGAAGGTGGAAGGAGAGGTCGGGAGGATGGAAGAGGTGGAAGGAGAGGTCGGAAAGAGGTGGAAGGAGAGGTCGGGATGGAAAGAGGTGGAAGGAGAGGTCGGGATGGAAAGAGGTGGAAGGAGAAAAGGTCGGGAAAGAGGTGGAAGGAGAGGTCGGGATGGAAAGAGTGGAAGGAGAGGTCGGATGGAAAGAGGTGGGAGAGGTCGGAAGGAGAGGTGGAAAGAGGTGAAGGAGAGGTCGGGATGGAAAGAGGTGGAAGGAGAGGTCGGATGGAAAGAGGTGGAAGGAGAGGTCGGGATGGAAAGAGGTGGAAGGAGAGGTCGGGATGGAAAGAGGTGGAAGGAGAGGTCGGGATGGAAAGAGGTGGAAGGAGAGGTCGGGATGGAAAAAGTTGGTAGGGAAATGTATCTATCCCTTTACATACCTGGACTGGACCCTGTTCATATATCTGGTTAAGGATGGGGACCAAGAATGCAGCAGTCTTTCCTGACCCTGTTTGAGCACATGCCATCAGATCTCTCTTTGCAAGAATGAAGGGCAGGGCATATTTCTGTTGGCAAACAAATTCAAAGTTATACACACAATACAGATCAAGCATCAGTATAACACACATTTGACCATATGAAAATGAATCCATTAACCCATTAACGAGTAATGGCGTATAACGTGTATACATATCATGACTCGCTCTAGTGAGTGAGCAGGTGGGCCGGCAGTACACAGCACAGGCCCAGTCAGATAGAATCGACTGTTGTGTAATGAATTTGTCATAGAAAATTCTGGCCATGTCATGGTAGGGTTAACCCGATGCCTAAGGGAATGGCATGGCATGCCCACTGAATTTAGTTTATCAACTGATTTTATACATGCTTAGTTACCAAAAAGCCAATTACAAGTATGCATTTTTCCGGCAGTATTATGTTAAAGTTGAGTATATTAACAAAATAACGAGAGAAAAGTATAAAAATTACATTACATGTACTAATTTCCATTTTTTTGTGCTTCAAAGTTTTAAGACTATCACATATACCTTTTTTTTTTTTTTTTTTTTTTTTTTTTTAAGCATCCAAGAAAAGACCCTGAAAGAAAGAATGAATCAAAGGAATAAAAAAAAAAAACATTCTACTCACCTGGACTGGTGTGGGCCTGTCATATCGAGCCATATTAATGTTCTGTTTGATGATCTCTGTGAGTTTGATATCGCCAAAGCTATTGATACAAGGAGGAATGTCTTCGCCAGTTGCCTCCACGGGAATGTCATCATACTTATCAAAATTGATTCCACTGTTGGTCTGAAAAAGAGGTTGAACAAGATAACCCGCTGCCTCTACCTCCAAATCACTTATCTCTAAGTTCTACAAGCATTTTTCAAAGGTAGAACCAGAAACATGTAGACTGATATTTCTTATTGGTTAGTCAGTAGTGTGATTCTAAGTCATAGCTTTCTCTAGGGCAAAATTTTGTATAAAACAGAAGATACAGAAGCAGCAATCATGGCATCATAAATTGAAATCAAAGGCCAAATTTCAAAGTGCATTCCTTAGGGGTGGGTGTCAAATAGGTTATGGGTCTTTAATTTTTTACTAATTGAAAGCCATTTTTGACTCCAAGTTCTAGTTAACTCATTTCCTGACTTTCCAATTTTTCACAAACTAAAAAAAAAAAAAAAAAAAATACAAAAATACAAAAAAATATCTCCGGTACATTCTCTTTGGATGGCCTTCAAGACAAGCAATATCTATTTCGTAAGTGCCATGAGTTTTATTCTTTTTTTTTTTTTTTTTACATTTTTGAAAAATAACATATTACTTTGTTGAATATTAAAAGTAATTTGCTATGGCGTAGAAATTATACTTCTAAAAAGAGAAAACAGATAAAAAACAGTGTAAATGTCTGAGCATGTGTGCTTGTAGGCAAATTGATAAATGAGATTTCAGCTCAAAGATGATGGCCAATTCCATTTCATTTTGCTCAAATCTGCTCATTGATGTTATCTGATAATAATCAACAAATTATACATTCCAATAAAGAGTTTCTATGGAATGAAGAGTGCCCAGCCATTTACAACTATCAAAGCAGGTTTGGCCAATGCTGTTGCTTTGTCTGTTGTGGACTCAACTGATTCTTTCACAAGTTTGCTTTTAGATCTTTTAGATCTAATCTATTTTAGTGATAACAGATGTTGCAGAAAGAGGGAGGGTGCAAAAAGAAAGGGAGGGGAAAGGGAGAGGGAGGGGGAAGGAGAGGGGGGGAGGGAGGGGAAGGGGAGAGGAGGAGAGGGAGAGGAGGAGGGAGGGGGAGGGAGAGGGAGGAGGGAGAGGAGGGAGGGAGAGGGAGGGGTAGAGGGAGGAGGGAGGGGTAAGGGAGAGGGGGAGGGAGGG